GACTCAGTCTAATCCGAAGACATGCTGTTGTCCGGAGCAAAAACCAGAACCAATAATCCTATGACATATGGGGTACTTGCCTGTTCGTCATTCAAGAAAGTTGTTGATCACTGCAAAAAATAAAACGAGTTTTGGAATCCTGAGAAGCAGCTTCCCGATTCTGAGGTTTGTAGATTCTCATGAAAATCAGTAATATATCCCGGAAAGTTTGGTTTTCGACCCGAAGGGTTGCGCTTCACGTCACGGCAGTGGCACACCTTGGTAACGAGTCTCGACAAGAAAGCAATAGGTATCCAATTCACTTCATCACCGATTACACAAAATTGCATCACAAATAAAGTGCGTCACAAACGGTGTAAACTAACCCCCCGGGGAGTTTTAGTTCAGTTTCAGTTTTTACAACCATTAACCATGCACTTTCTTGCGCCGGTTTTGGTTGCTGTCTTTTGGCCGCCCATTTGGATAAAAGAGCAGAATGAAGATTGGAATATTGAGAGCAAATCAAAGCGGAAGATAGAGAATTAGTATAAACTAAGGCTGCAATAATGATGAGTGGGTGCATGAGCACCACTGTTTGCGACACCCGGGAGGCAGGCCAACCAAGAAAAAGAGTAGCAAGACGCATCACGGNAATTCGCACGGACAATACATAAGATGGGTAATTTAACCTATACCACTAGATTATAGCTTTTACTCACATGACCTGTCAGCAAATCAGTCACCCAATTACTCAAATTATTGCTAGACGAACTCATTACAGTTCAAATTGTTTGTGGTGGTGAATGCATCCCAGTGTGTTTGCTTGAACTGGCATTCGAAGTTGGAAACATTGTCAAAAGCAAGCACCGGGACACTTATTTTCCGAATATATCTGACCAACAGATAACAAGTTGATTAAGTTAACAGCAATAACTATTCCTTTTCAGTTGGGAGAGAAGACTATCCTCGATGATTGGGCATTTTTACGGAGTATCTGACTTGCGTTCGCTGAATGATCTCATTCATTTCCACACTCATTCGTTGTGAGACAAGGTCGGAGCTCTAAAACCACAATTCCAGTGATAGGGGCTGAAGATTTTCCCGGCGTAGCTCTAAGCCGTCGGCGCTGAAAGTGTTGGGGATGAACATGACCAACTGACTTTGTCACTGTGGGATTTGTGTCACACACCTCATAATACTCGATGGCTAAACAACCGCGTTTCTACTGATTACTATACTTAAAACCGGTGTTGTTCTTATTCATTTGACAACATTACTCCGAAATTTTAATTCCATTTTGAAAAGAACTAAATCAAGTCCATATGTTTCTTTATCCAGGGCAGAGAAATCCCCTGTTACTCCAAAGCGTATCAGCAACGTGATTGAGTGCATGACATATGGCGTGTGGAAGTATGTTGTTCGTGGATTGTACGAAGCGGACAAACCCACTTTCTCACTCCTGCTGGCTTTGAAAATTGATATGCAAGCCGGAAGAATTCGACATGAGGAGTTTCAATGTTTCATAAAAGGTAGGTCACTTGTGGCCATAAATTTCATCGAAATCCGTTTGTTTTTGAATAAATAACGGGTTAGAAAGATATTGAATCGCGTGAGTGATTTTCGGTCGACTTTATTCCAATACTACAGATATAAACGCTTGAAAAATGATGGCACGGCAGAATAATGAAGTTAATCAGCTGATAATCAGGATCAAGAATTATTACTCTCAATACCTGATATTAAAATATCTAATAAATCTCTCATAGATTAACCTGCTGCGCTGCCGCCACGTTTGCTCGAGCAGCACTCACAGAGCACGCGTGTGTGTGATCTGAACGCTTCACTGATCGCCTAAATGCTAACCTAGCATGATTTACTACATGGTTTGGTTTGTGAGTTTTTCTCCCTACGATAACTGACTCTCTCTATTTAATTTTTCACTTTTACACAGGTGGGGCTTCTCTGGATCTTAACACTGTTAAACCAAAGCCGTTTAAATGGATCACAGACATGACATGGCTGCATTTGGTTGCTTTGTCCAATTTGAATCAATTCGCCCCGATTTTAGATCAAGTACAACAAAACGAACGAGGCTGGCGCGTTTGGGTTGATAAACCCACCCCGGAAACTGAGTGTATCCCCGACGGGTACCATGCTAGTGTGGATACATTTCGTCGTCTCTTACTGATTCGTGCCTGGTGTCCAGATCGTATCATGAATCAGGCCACGGTTTATGTGACAAGTACTTTGAGTCCACGATACGCCGAAGGATTTGTGTTGGACGTGGACGGTGTCTATTTAGAATCGACACCGCGATGGCCTATGGTTGGATTATTAAGCATGGGTTCGGATCCAACCGCACAAATTGATGCATTGGCCAAAAAGTACCGCGTACGTCATAAGTTGATGTAGCTGTGTATTTTGAGTTACTCTCCATTAGTAGTGTTTTCGTAATTCTTCACCAATATGGTTTACTTGTGATATCCACCTGAATTTTGTTTGGATACCAAATGTAATCCACTGCATTTCGACGAAGGTTATTTCACTGTGGATGGATATTTTGATCTCGTATAGAGGATTCAAAAAAGTTTTTGGCATTTGAGAATCGAAGTTTTCTCAGCATTGTTTGGGTCTAGCGAGATGATATGATACACAATGTTGGTGATAATTGTAGTGTACTTGGAAGTCTGGATAGGTTATTGGCATAGGAGCTTGATCCTCACAGAGTGAAATAACTATGATCAACATTCCTCCAAATGAAATAAAGCCCCGTGAAAAGAGGATGAACTCTTTAGGGGTACAGAATCATTTGGGGGTTTGAAAATTCCCCAGTCACACTCAGTCTTACACGCAATGCTGAAAGGTCTGAGATGAGCCGGTGGCTTTCACTAAACCAGATGAAGTATAAGATTTAAAAAAAATGATGCTCAAAACAGATCAGACTAAGCAAGGTCTAATGTTAATAATCCGTCGGTAACTTATGAAATTCGATGTTAGAAAAATATTGATCCAGTGTTCATGATAAAGACGGAAGACAATTGTGNAATCTTAAGGCATAATCCAGTTTGAACGAGAGTTTTCATGAACAGCAATTCCAGGTTCTCTATCAGATGAGATATATGTATCCGGGCGTCTGTCAGTATGGTGGACAGTAGCGAATGCAATTCAATTATACAAAGTTCTGGCCTAATTGTATCATAGCTTCATACTTTCTGACAAAACAAACAGGTCACTTTGTTTACTTCAGTGGACTTTCATTTTTGAA